TTAGAAAGGATGTGACAGAAAAAGAGCAAATCGGCGCGGAATCGTTCGTGAAATGCGGAAGTTATGAACTGACAGAGGATCGGGTGACTGTTCGGTCCATATGACTCCACACTTAGTGATCCCTTGACCACAGAGGCCGATTCGTGGAACCACGAAAACCTAACAAGTTGTGGGCTAACCAAAATGTTGTTTTTGAGGAGTGATTCGGGAGCGCTTAGCCTGGTAAACTTGGCAGAATTTCGTTTCCGTTAGGAATGCGGATGCCCTAAATTAAAACCAAACAAATTGTGTGCAATCGAGGTTGGCTGCGCCGACAACAAATCCTTCGTGCCCCCCCCCCACTAACTAATCTTAACTGCTCAGTTCATTATTGACCTCTATTTTAACCAGCAGATATTTAGTTACCTGTTGACGTCACTGTGTTTCTGTTCAAGCCATTTTAGTAGACACAGAGACGTGTGTGCGTACAGACAATTCCGAAAAGAAAAACTGAGGACGTAACCAGTAATCTGGGGGGATAGAAGGGACTTGGAGGGATGTAAAACGTTAAATAATGCAAAACAAATCATGCTAGTTATGAACGATGACACTGAGATCATTAAGCTGGGGAGTGAAGGTACCACATGGTTTATGTATGCTTGTGTTCTTGTGTATAGATACACATCACTACTAGGCACCCGGCGTTCCTGAAGGCATTTGATCATATCTGGATGTAATGGGTGAGGAATCTCACCAGTTACTTTCCTAAGAAGATTTGCCTTAGTATCCGTAGGTCTCCGAACCAAAGCGCCTATCGGAAACCTCAGGGGAATGTCACCCGGAGCTGATAAACGCAGAATGAGCCGTATGTTAACAATATAATCCTTTTTCAGCAGTCCTCTGAAAGCGACGGGGAAGCAGTACAAATTAACCACTAAGATGGTAGCGAGTGTAAAGTTTCGGCTAACCAAAACAGGACTAGTTAGGGAAGAAAGTTGTGTGAAATAACTCAGTCACCTAATGTTAAGGCAGCCTTTGTCAACGCGTTAATGCTATGTTTGGTCAGAGTGCATCCCAATCTTCGGATAATTTAGCTTGAGATGTTGGGCGATCGTTGGTAGTAACCTTGGCCAAAAGAGTAAAATCTTAACNNNAAGATGTCTTCCCTACACAGCGTGAACACATTCGTGGTAAGCTTGGATGAGTTTAAATACAACACGATATCTCGTGCTCATTGACAGATGACTTTGGTGTCCGTTTTTAGATAATTAGGCGTCCAGTAGTGTAGAAGATGCTCTGCCAACAGTGATGTTGTTGCCAAGTTCCAAAGGATCCTTGTGGAAAGTCACCGAAGTAATGCCAAAAAAAGGTTCTTTGGAGAAAGTTGAATTTGATGGAAACAGTCTTCGAAGACCTATCAATTTGAACGTGCTGCTGTGTAAGAGGGACACAAAGGGACCCTTGATTGTCGTCCCAGGAAGTCTGTGCAGCAGAAGTTTTCGATCGACTGCTCAAATCCATGAAGCGGACCAAGAGGCACTTCATCCTAATGTCTAAGGGATTCAGAATCGTGTGTTGGAGACAGGCTAATGCATCTGTGGAAGAACTACGCATCTTATACGTCAATTATTGAACACCAGTGGAGATATTTGTTAAATGATTTATAATGCCAGGTATTAGTCGCTCTATGACTTACAACAAAACAGACATGCACGAAATCGGACAGGATTTCAGTGGATAGGTTTTGAAAAGTGGGGTCATTTTAGCAGTCCTCTAAGACGCACGTGAATAAATGATAACGTGCAAAAGATATTGCTAAGAGGCAGTATTTTAACAGATGGATTCTCTTCACTTCTCTTCTGGGGAACTGCCAACTTCTGGCTGATAATAGTTCATGCACAATCGACCGTCGGAAAAAAATGTAGACCCCGTTTGCGCAAACGAGACTTAAAGGTCAACGTGACGCTTCAAAGACTTCCGTATTTAGACACTCCCACTGCAAATCTTGTTAAACCACAAACAGCACGTGACAGCCAATCTGAACAGGTCGTAGTTCCATGCATTCTTGAGTGACGAGACTGAAGAATGAAGATACTATGCAATTTTCTTACACGGAAGGTGACTACCGAATCGATTCAGATAGAGAGATATATCCGCTCCGCAGCGAGCACGTTTCGCTGAGGTCAATTCCGAGCACTCTTGTAGACTGAGAAAGGTGAAGTATTTACATTCGCTCACACAATCGAACGAATGAACCAAACACATTGTATGTCCTAGGTGGACCAGCTGATCATGTTTTCAACATTCCACTCCAAATTCTCAATTGGGTTAGCCTTCGTTTGATAAGGTGTATACAAATGGTCCAGGACAGCTGCAAACAATAACGGTAATAGTAATACTATTTAGCCGTCATGTTTTATCTTGTATTGCCAGTCTCTATGCGTTCGTTCTCTTGTCACATCCTTCTTCATGATGTATCCCCACTGCGTAAACATAATGGCGTCAAACTCAACAAACCTAGTTCACGAATGAAGCTAGGACATGACATTCGGGTACAATTCCACACAGCCTTACAAATGCCTTCAACTGCTTCTCCAACGGTGAGCCCCTCTGCTAGCTAGGTGTATTGTAGCTGGTAGTGATCGAAACACCTATGGTGTGCACTGCACGAATGACTGGTTGTATAACGTAAAGGAGATTCGACATATCCAGTACATTCGGAACAACTTCCAATTTGCTATATACATCAACCATGCCTGACTTTCATCAAGCTCTTGGTGATTGTTGTAGTCTGGTGGCTTTCTGCACTTCCCGCTTGCAGCACCTATTTAGACTGTCCATTCAATACTGAATGGCTTTACTGAAAAGTATTGATTTTCGAGAAATACTCAGTTGAAAATCAATTTGGTTTTCACGAGAGACTCAACTGAATCTCTCGTTTATGATATTCTACAACTGAAAGTGCTGCACACAGGCCACCTCAAGTTTCAGTTGGCACGATATTCGAGATATCGCAGTATATTTTCATGAAGGAAACTACTCACAAGGTTGCTGAAAACTCTTCGACAGCCCACGAACGACCGGTTTCGCCCTTCTTGGGGCTCATGAGCTAGGCGCAGTCCACGAGTTTCCGCCAGCCTTATGATCTACTTGAACCCAAATTGGACTGCTTTCGAGAAATACACTCATTTGCAAACCAATCTGGTTTTCACGAGAGACTGAACTGAACCTCTCGTTTATGATATTCCCCAAACCCCAAGAAGGACGAAACCGGTCGTGGGCTGTCGAAGAGTTTTCAGCAACCTTGTGAGTAGTTTCCTTTATGAAAAGTAATGATCTTTTTCAGCAGAGGATTCCCAAAAGATAGAAGGATTATGACAAGGGAACGAACATACTGCAAATCGTTTTCTAGTTCAACCCCAGGAAGGGGGCATGATTGGCTCCGGTTCTGACAACGGGGTCCGCTTTCTGGAATAATAGTGTCAGTGGGCGAAATCCGTTCCATAGGTCATCATTTTTGTGACCTTAGTTCTGCGCTGGTGAGCAGTGGCCTAGTATGCATGAGATTTCCGATTCAAATGAGTCGACCATTTGAAAATAGTCCTGCAATCATCGGTATAGGCGAGCGAGGAACAGTGCTGAAACATTCTTCTGTACAAATTTTATGACCTCTCATTGCATTCCTTCTGCAGCGCCAGTTGGTAGAAATTACGGTCATATTTAATCGCTTGGGGTTGTAGTGGATCGCATTTTTTCTGCAAAACTGATGCGTATGTGAATACACAAGGGTTAGTCGGCAAAACAAACCGAGGGAAAAGTTTCCTGTAGACACGTGCAACAGCTTCAGAGTAACTTGCATTCAGCCTAATGTGACGTCCTGGACGATTTATGCCTATCTGACTTGACACTATAGCGGAAAAAATTGGCTGGAGAGACTTGACAGAGCGTCTAACAAGGTGTCACTCCAGATCCCCGCGTCAAGTACCTCAATGTGCAAACTAGTCAAGTATAGTGAATCTTTACGCTACCTAAGGTAAATCTCCAGTGACTGAGTTGTGGATCTTTTCTGAACAGCGCAGATATTGCCATTGCGGTTAAGTGTGAAGCGTACTTACCTATTCAGATAGAATAGGTAAGGTCAAAACAGTTCCGCTTCTAGGACTGACGTCCCCGTTCCTCAGTTATCATTCTCCGGCTCTGTTCGGGTGACTACAGCATTGTTGAACTTTGAGACTGTCTTAAAGAATATGCAAAATATTGTGGTCTGGGCTCATATTCGGACCAGTGGTTTTGTCACAGTTGAACGTACAAAGTATGTCATTAGCCTTCTAGCGTCAGAACCCCAACGTTAACCTAAACCACCGGGTGATTGATGTCCATAGCTTGGCGACTTGTTACGGAATCCAATACACTCGGATAAAACCTTCAAGCTTGATGGTTTCTTATAACGTAATACACAAACTGCACCCATCAACAGCTAGGAGCTCAACCTACTGGTCACTATTTCTCGACATTTTGGCTAAGGATGGTTTGTGACGCACAAGTTCCCCAAACTTTTTTTCCTGTTAAACTAGCACCTCTTATCCTGAAGTCGGCCTACAAATGAATAGGACAGTTCTATGCGCTGATAACTTACAAAGCCCAAACCGTCAAAATGGTTACCGGCGAAACCTTGTATCCACCCTAGTTCTACGCACCCATCCGAAACACTTGAAGAGACAAAATAGAATCACTACATCATCATCGTCGTGGGCACACAACCTACCAGCCGAATCACGGTATTGGTCGAAAATCCCATCCGCGGGCGTACCCCGAAACGTGGAGAAGCGATTCCACAAAGATTGAAGTGTACATTATGCAAGTGGCCTTTGATGCCTCTTATAAAAACCAGATGCAAACAAGATGCCCATACAAGAGGGATGAGAATCAAAACTCACATGAATCATTCACAGTGTCCTGTGTGTCATTCAATCAAAACTCACATGAATCATTCACAGTGAGTAAAACAAAGTCCTACCAGCTTATTTGGCTTCTGTTGCATTAGGGGGTACAATAACAACGGGTGCATGTGAATGGTGAAGAACATAGTCACTGACACTGCCTAAGAAAGTACGACGAACGGTCCCGATGCCTCGATTTCCCATGACCACCAGGTCTGCATTGTAGTCCTGCACTGCCTTCACAATGGCAGGACCTGGACGGCTGTCAACATGCAAAAATGCCTGAGAATTAATGTTGCACGCCTTAGCTTGGTGCATCTTCTCTTGGCACAGCTTTTTCCCTGTCTCCACAGTCTCCGTCATAACTCGAGAGACATCTGGCAAAGGCGGCAATTCCAGTGCTGCTCCGAAACCGGGACTTGTGTAGACGGGTTCAATGATGTTGATAAACTTCACATTGTCGTTGGGCCGCTTCACATTATTCATGTACCAGCGGAAGGCGCGCTCACTATGCTCGCTGCCGTCGACCGGCAGGACTATGGTCCGTGGCTTTTCGTTGACCCCAGCAGATGCCATCGCGTCGAATGGCTGCGTCAGTCCGTCTTCGTCCGATACATAGGGGGTGACCATTGATTCGTCTCGTAATCGAGCATCTGATTCGTCTACAGGTGCTGAGCCAATCAGAGTTGGACCAAAGGGCAAGGTCGTTTCGCTGCCCTAGTTACAGTTATCCTGACGGTGAAGTCGCCATCGCTCCATCGACAATCATATATTACCACGGTTTTTTGTCAGTTGGCACTGCGGAAAAATGCAACTGGTCAGCCCTATGCCTCAGAGGGAGATAGTTCAGCACTGTTTACGAGTTGGCCATACTGATGACTCCGGTTACTACCCTCAAATTGCAATGCTAACCCGATAAGCCCTAGGCCTTGTAAAGGCTACCCTCCGAGCAATTTCACACCAGGACCTACTATCCACATTTTGTTTTTGCCTGCCTCACAATCACGCGTCAACTTCGTGCCAATGAATACGACCTTTGGCCGACAACAGGTTCCGTGAACCCGTTAAGGGATCAATATGATTTCACCTTGTTGTCTTTCACGGTTCACTAGACTTATATAAAGACAAAACAAAATGTGGATAGTAGGTGCTGGTGTGAAATTGCTTCGAGGAGTAATTAGACGGAAGGGTAGCCGTTACAAAGCCTAGGGCTTATCAGATTAGCACTGCAATTTTATGATAGTTCTGGAGTCATCAGTATGGCCAACTCGGAAACAGTGCTGAAATGTTTCCCTCTGAGGCATAGGGCTGCCAGTTGCATTTTTCCGCAGTGCCAACTGACAAAAAAACCGTGATAGTATTTGATCGCCGATGGTCACAGTTTGGCGTGTCCTTTCTAACATGGTGCCATTGCTAAACAAGAGGAAGAATCAGGAGGGTAGGTCGCGTAATTTCCACTAAATGTATGCAACGATATCAGAAATACATTCAAAATCGATCATAGCATAGTGTTTACGTGGCCCTCCTTAACATGTGACACCTGTTATGTGTACGACCGACAAGTGTCCTTAGGAAGTCATTCTTGCTAATCACGGTATAAACTTACCAGTGATCAGCGTTACTTCAAGGACAGATACGCAGTCAGTTTTGACAGAGGACCATATTTTAATAGTTGTACTTTTGGGTCCATATAACTAGAGTGAAATATAATCAACCCACGGCTTTTATATTCTGAAGTGTTTTCAACTTTTTTTTACGTTTTGGACGCCGGCTGCGGTCAGTTTTGACTGCAAAACAGTTCAGAATTGACCTTGGAACAATCACGGTACAGTTATCCGTAAGCATAAAATCTCATGCGCTTTCCGGATTTTACAACCGTAGTTGCCTTGACTGGAAGACTGGTTGGCGATTTCCGTTAGGAAGTGTCAAGCGCGAGTATTTTTTAACCGGGGTTTCGTGTTCGTGAATCACATTCAGTTGCATACCAATTCGGTCTTCAAGGGGTACCCGACTGAGACCCAGCTGAGTCACTCGTTTTTGAAATTCTTCAACTTGTTGGGCTGAACAGAGGCCGGTTCACTTTCTAGTTGCCCCGATTTTAGGGATACCGCGGTAAGTGTTCTCGAAGTGCTGTCGAGAAGTTTTCAGCAAACTTTCGAGTAGTTTCCTTCAAGAAAATGTACTGTGATATCTCGAATATCATATCATCTGAAACTTGAGGCGGTCTTTGTGCAGCCATAAACGAAAGATTAAGGTGGGGTTCGGTTTAGTCTTCCGTTGCAACCAAATTCTTATACTAATGAGTGTATTTCGTGAATGGCTCAGTAAGTTTTAACTAGAATCTTTCTATTGTTGCTTCTATTCTGTTGCTGAACAGAAGACTGAGTGCTATCCATCGAGTTTCTTCTATATGGGTTTTGAGTTTCACTTTAAATAAACGTAGCTCTATAGGTACATATTTGACTGATTTCAAGAGCTACGATGTTACTTAGCATCGAGCAAGTTGTAAGAAATGAGTGAATGATGAATGTGTACACGACACATGTACACATCATTCAATTTGCATGGACTTCTTCCACCCACAAAGGCTGTCATCGGGCTCCAGATATCTCTATCAGATGTCGTCAGACCGTCTTCGAGCTAGAAACAGGTCATCGGCTTTTTCTGTAAAGCTACACACGAGCTTTCGACGACGGCTTACCTAGTTAGCATGGAACTAACACAAAATACACGATTGAACCATTTCATACAGTTTCTATGCTGGTAAAATATGTAGTATAGTCAAAATCTGACAAGTAAATGTGCACTGCGTATGGATAAAGATTCGTGTGATTGATAATTACTCTTGAGCGCGGATTATGGTAAATAATCAATAATGCCTCGAAGAACTTCAGTGGTGGCGGTCGATTATATCGTACTAGGAGGGAAAAGTAGAGTTATTCACACGGAAATGACCAGTTTCAAATATATTTGTAGCAGCTGATTATGGTAATGGCTCAGAGGCATTATCCATAAACCGGACAGAAGGGTTCTCCCAACCATTAACGATTCTGTCCATTAGTCAAAAATAAAATGAACTGCAAACCCAGATGAACCAAAGTTTTAGATTTACAATGAATACTTCGAAAAAGTAAACAAGGGCCGTCTTTTTGCAGGAGCCTGCTCTTTCCCAGTGTTCTCGATGGGAAACTAACGGCATTTTGGTACGACTATCAGCCTAAATGTGCACAACGTCTTGGACGGGTTTTGCAGCCACTAGGCACACCATGCACGGTCTCGTGTGCACATTTCCCCTTTTCGAACGGCTTGCACGGTCGTCAGAACATACAATTACGCCCAGTGATGCCCCGTCGTTTTCCACTTGGTAGGGTCTAACTATAGTGAACAAAGTGGATCTTTGCCAGATAAGCCCCACCATTAAGGCAGAAAGTGCATGTTCGAAGAGTTAAGCCCCGCCACTTATTTGCCAGCTCCAATTTAATGTACGCACACAACCTTGATCTATTTTTGATGAAAACACAAATCCTTATCCGCATCTAGGCTCACTTCATGCATAAATTTCCTCCGTTCGAACGTAAAACCTTAAATGAACTTTCTGACTAGGAGACGGCAACACGTTTTTTGCAAAGCCACGGAGTGATCTATCAGCAACGTTTATGAAACAACGGCCACCAAATGACACTTTCCACTATTTCTGGTGTAATGCCCGACAATGTCGGAAAGAAATCGGTCTTCAAATGGGAACTTGACTGGAGCGGTCTAGGGTGGAGTTTAGGACAGTAATTCCATTTATTTATTGCTTGTCCAAAGATTTGGAAAAAATCAAATTCTGCTCAGAGGAACTATCGATTAACCACACGACCGTTGTTGACTGGATGAACTTTCTTCGCGAAGTTTGCTCCTGGCGGCTTTTGCAGGCTCTCCAACAGTTGTCGGCGGCCCAGGTCTACGTCGAAATCGATGAAACATCTATATCTCGCCGTAAAAACCACACAGGGTGAGTCCTTCCCCAGCAGTGGATTTTCAGAGGAATCTGCTGGGAAACTAAGGAGGTGTTCATGTATGCAATGCCAGATCGAACTGCGGCCACATTGACGGACACAATCCAGACCTGCATCGCTCCCGGCTCAATCATCGTCTCCGATATGTGGGCATCATACTAAGGAAATGAAATGACGATTGATATGAATTATACTCATGAAACGGTTGATGATACCGAAAACAAATTCCATATTTTCTTTTTTTAATCTTTTTTGGGTGGCAGGGGTTAGTTTTTTGGCGGGGCTATTCTGGAAAAAATCCAACAAAATACAGGAGAACGCATCTGGTGACGCGTGTCAAATGTCTGGTGCCTATACTAGACATGTAGTGATCATTTAGATTAGGTGATACCTTTTCCACACTGTGGTTCATTCATCAATACCCGAACAAGCCAATGTGTGACGTGCTTTCGTTCGATCTAAAGTTGTTCATTATACGTATGCATCCTGTTCTTCCTTCAAAAAAGAGAACACAGTTGTGGACACCGACTCATTTCGCCGAATACTAACGTCGATTGTACGGCATACAAAAAAAGCAGTTGGAGTTTCTTGAGAGATGAGGTTGTGTGGGATAAAATTAACGTCATAGTAACCACCGTGGCTTTTAACACCTCCCTAAGCCGACAGTAATGTCCTGTTGTAATAGCGATGTAGTCAAGTGAAAATGAGCCATCATCAAAAGGGCAAACGAAGATCAGTGGTTGTAGGAAAATCCGTCAATCGCGAGAGAAATGACGAGGTTGAGAGTATCCACAGTGAAACACGGACATTAGACGAATATTGATTCGGGGCTTCTGCCGACAAGTTGCAAAGTGACACTGTCCGGTCCTGCAGCTAAACGGATGGGGACCGTCAGCAGCAGTTGGACGAATGCGGTATTTCAGTGAGCAGTATGACCCAGAGACACAGCCGACAATCATTTTTATCAGGAAGGTCAGCTTCCTGAAAGCAACCACTGAAGGCCCGGAATCTAAGGTGACGCTCAGCTCCGCTGGGTGTTGACCAGACAGACAACGCCCCCTCAATATGCAGCACGTCGCAGCCAGACCGTGTGCGTCAGCATTGGACCAAGTTCAGACAGTGTCCTTCCAATGAAAAGCTTGAGGCCGTTGTACTTTTCGCACTCGCACGCACTCGCGCTCTCGCAACCACTTTGTTGGAATATAGCTATTGTGTTCCCTTCCGTGAGCCTTTTTCTCTCCGACACTAGGCACTGGAGCGGGTCAGCAGCAGATACCACAGGCCGGCGAATCAGCAGATATAACAATTTTGAATAGGAAACCCAACGGATGTATGAAGCACACGACAAAAGTGTTGCTATTAATTACTGCGTGGGTGGGAATTCCGTTCGAGTGTCCCTCAAACCAAAGCATTCGCCTAGGGCGGGTGAGTAACTGCTTCTCTCCTATTCCTTCCAGCAGACAGATGCAATTGTATTACGCCTGACCTTGCTGGATGTAGTCCATAGCACCAATTTCCGAATATGGCCGTCACTTTCGGGCTTGACCTGTACTATGATGGCCGAAAAAGCTATCGTGACCTCCACGATTGGGGAACTTACTTCTGCCACTGCAGCCTCTGTCCTCTTGA